AAATGAGAGTTTAACAGCTAAATATATATGTAATTTTTTTGTACTGTAAGGTGTAGTAATCATAGATGATCAACCAGAAGTGACTGTAGATGACTCTTCATTTTTATGTGATGCAGATGATGGATTTCAAGAAGTTACATCTAAAAAAAGACATAAGGCAATGGTTGAAAACGATGTCAAGAAAATTAAAAAAGAGGTATTGATTTTTGATTAAATATTAAACAATTTTTTATATATACATAAAATTCTTTTTATGTTTAAGAATTTCAAAGATTTGATAAAATTATTGAATTTTTAAAATATAGTATGATGATCATAAAATATCTGTCAATCCAATGAAATAAAATGATTTTCCATATCTCTGAATAAAACAGAAATAATACATTTATAAAAAACATATTAAAATATATACTAAATATTTATTTCTGTTGCAATTTTTTTTTATCCAGCCACGAAGTAGAAATAAAAGTGGTTCGAGGCTTCGACAAAACAGACTTCCACCTAGATTGGCTAAACAAAGGGAGAACAATCAGTTTCATTCCAAGTCTGGTATCCCTCCTACAGATACTAGTAATATCTGGGATACAGAAATTACGTCTAATGCTAAACATCCCGTCCATTTTTCACTTAAAGGTAATGTATTATTATTAAAGAAACAAGATATCAATTTAATTTCTAAAATTCTTTAAAAATCAGTAATTCCTTCTTGTAATTTGATATACAATAATATACAATAAAATAGTTTCGTTTTTTTATATGGTATTACATTTAATATTTTATATTAAATTTAATATGAAATGAGGGACTAAATAAAAGAAAAATTGATTGGCTTTCAGTAAAACAGACTTATGGATTATCTATGCCTCCTGGTTATTTGNCTAATTAAATATATGATGATGATGATAAATTATTTACATTACATACATTAATTTTACAGTTCCATAATTAGTTTTTTAATATTGTTTAAAATGTACAGTATATATATTTATTTAATCAAAGATTAATTCCAATAAAAAGTTAAAATTTTTATCATATTCCAATTAATAATTATCAATATATGCTAATAAATTAATAATTTGAACTTACATTATGTAAACTTTGGTTACAATGATAAGATATTCAACAATAAAACTTGGTTATTAATGATTTTTGGATATTAAGTATGAGTAATGCCTAAAAACAAATTCATTACTGCAGTTATTACAGAAAATTTAACATAAACAAGACAAAATGATTTAAAAAGTACAGATCTTAGATATTGCATTCAAACTATATATTAATCAATTTTATGTATTGCATTATCAGTTTTTAGTTTGAAATGATATTTGAATAGCCATTTTTTAAATATTATTTATCTCGTTTGAATGCAGCTGTAAATGATAAAGAAATTGTGTTTGTTTAAAATATTGTGTGACAGTGTGTGTGTTTGAAACTAATCAACCAAATAATCAAAACTAAAACATATCATCTGAAAAATGGATTTTATTCCAGATTAATGCAATTTCTTATGTCTAGAATTATTATTATTTTTTTTAAATAATTGCCATAACAACATGTATATGGTTGTTAAACTTTTTATATTTCATTAATAAGTATAATGTACCTAAGATTTTTTTTATTGAAATGTAAAATCAAGAATATAGCTATTTTTTATTATAAGTTTTTTTTTCAATAATAATGTGATTATAACATGCAAAAATAAGTGTTGAAAACTTTAATTTATACCGTTTGTAATTATTTGTTGTTTTTAGGTGAATAAAATTGAAAATAACAAACCCATAGCAGCAGTTTTCGGAAACAAGAATATTAAAGCTGACAATACTTCTCTGGAAAAATTAGGAACTGAAAATAAAAATTTAAAGGTAATAAAACTTGGTTATTAGCTGCTGTTGCTGCTGCTGTTATAGGTGTAATTAGAATTATTTTGTTTTTTTTAATATTACTTTATATTTATGAAAAATAATCTGTTGTTACTCTGTCTTCTGTGCAAATTTTGAAACCATTTTTATTTTTACAATGATGAATTTTGAGCCAATCCAATGATGGCATGATTAAGATTGATGATAATCTGAATTTTTTTAATACTTATAATTGTTTTTCTATAACAAATTCAAAAATTAATTAGGGTTTTTTTTTCTTTTCTTAGGAAGTGACTACTACTACAAATACAACATTAACTGCTGTTGGCAATGAACTTTGCAAAGCTCCAACTGAAACTGCAGAATTAGAAGAAAATAAAACTATTCAACTTCCAGTTACATTTTCTACAAAAGAACCATTTGGAAAGGTGATTATATATTTGTTTATTTTAGCATGAGTAAAGTAT